GGAGCATAGTCCATGGTCATGTAAGGGATGGATGGTGGGATAGTCCATAGTTATGTAAGGGATGGATGGGGAGCATAGTCCATGGTTATGTAAGGGATGGATGGGGAGCATAGTCCATGGTTATGTAAGGGATGGATGGGGAGCATAGTCCATGGTTATGTAAGGGATGGATGGGGAGCATATTCCATGGTTATGTAAGGGATGGATGTGGAGCATAGTCCATTGTCTCTTCTCTATCTCTCTGTCTCTCAGTCTAAGTTCCTTTTCTTTCTTTCTCACTGCTTCAGAAATTTCTTCTCGCGTGGAAAGTCGAAAGAGGAGTCTGTGAGTCAGCCCGGCTGGAAGCTGTTCAGCAAGCATCCTCCTGCGAAGCTGCTGCCGAGCTCTGACAGGGAATCAGACGTCAGCTCCACATCACAGGACGATGCGGACGACTCGCCCGGACGCTCACGCAAGTCTGATCTCATCACCCCGACCTCCACACTCATACTGGAGAGCCGGCCTGCGTAAGTGTTGCATACAACTATCTCATCGTACACACTCATACTGGAGAGCCGGCCTGCGTAAGTGTTGCATACAACTCTTCCATTGTACACACTCATACTGGAGAGCCGGCCTGCGTAAGTGTTGCATACAACTATCTCATCGTACACACTCATACTGGAGAGCCGGCCTGCGTAAGTGTTGCATACAACTCTCCCATTGTACACACTCATACTGGAGAGCCGGCCTGCGTAAGTGTTGCATACAACTTTTTCATCGTACACACTCATACTGGAGAGCCGGCCTGCGTAAGTGTTGCATACAACTATCTCATCGTACACACTCATACTGGAGAGCCGGCCTGCGTAAGTGTTGCATACAACTATCTCATCGTACACACTCATACTGGAGAGCCGGCCTGCGTAAGTGTTGCATACAACTATCTCATCGTACACACTCATACTGGAGAGCCAGCCTGCGTAAGTGTTGCATACAACTCTTCCATTGTACACACTCATACTGGAGAGCCGGCCTGCGTAAGTGTTGCATACAACTCTCCCACCATCCTCCAACATGTACCTGATGACTGATGTAGAAATTCATCACTTCTTCGACGGTGAAATTCATGGCATGCAAAACTGCGTGCATTATTAAAAAAACGTATTCATTATTAATATGTTCACTTAGATTCTTTTCATCCCATCAGAGTCAGATAAAATTAACTCTGTAATTCTCAAGTAGAAAAACAAATGAATTTACCTAATGCTCTTATAAACGTCGAGAATGATTGCTGCTGTAGAGAGAACGTGATGTGCTGGTATGCTATAAAGGGGGGATGGGTGGCTTTGCTAGAATAAACGTGCAGTAGCTTACTGCTGTGTTAATATAGTGAGGGTTGGTAAAATGTGTAGCTATGCGGGTATAATGAATGTTGGGAGGAGGAGGAGGAGGAGGAGGAATATAATACTTACTGACTGTGTGTAGTGGTCTAGACATAGTGCGTCTGCTTTAAATTGCTGTTCTGACATCTCACACGCTGCCTCCGCTTCGTACAGGAACCTGCCAGCGAAGACTCCAGAAGAAGAGATGAAGCATAAGTCTGAATATGAAGCCATGGTTACTCAGGCAAAAAAACGAGGTATCTGTCAAACTTGTGTAAACTCCGATGTTTCACTGACTGTGGAGATTTCACCCTACAATTAGTGAAAAATTGGAATTCTTAAAAATTGAATATAGTTTTACATTCCCTGGATACATATTATTGTCCTTGATTATTGTTGGACGACATTGCCATTTCTCAATAGTGACTGTAAAAGGCTGATCTGGCAAACACTGGCAGGCTGTGTCACTTACGGCATGATAGCAGAAGCATCCTACGTTTGCCTGTGTGCGTCTCACGCTAGTGTAATAATCTCATACAATGTCGCTATGCAGAAGCATCCTACGTTTGCCTGTGTGCGTCTCACGCTAGTGTAATAATCTCATACAATGTCGCTATGCAGAAGCAAAGGATGCAAAACTGCGCAAGCGGTTACTACAGCGTCAAATGAAGCAGGAAGACTTTGTTGCCCAGGCAACGCGATTCTGGAATGAAGAGGTGTTACCTAACTGGACCAGCATGTATGTGTTCCTTATCCCACTCTTGTTTTTAAGGTTTTTCGAAAACACCATTAATTTAGGGTTATTCAGAAATCGCCAGAATAAATTATAGAACTGGGTGTGTATATATTTGATTAAATTTGAGATTGTGAGATAAATTTGGGATGTCCATGGTGGAGTTGTGTGGTAAGGAATTGAAAGACAACGTTACTTTAACTTTAGCTATATTTACAGTTTTATTGAACCTCATATGTGTTAAATCTTTTGTTTAAAAATTTCTAAAATTTAATAACTGTGAGTGTGCAATGTAGTTTCCACTGCTGCCTGTTTTCGTGATAGGGCAAGTTGTGTCTTTGAAAAGATTTCCTTTTATCACATAATACATGCTGATACTCTAAAGATTAATATGTATCATAAATAATTCATAGTTTTGATAAAACTAATATTTAATGCTCAAATACTTTTCTTCTATTATTTTAAGTGAATACTTATCAGTGCAGGATTTATAATAGAAATCGTAATTCCTCCAGTCTGCATCATGTCAGTTTTCTGCAGTGGGTAACATATGCAATGGAATCACATATAATACGCTGACAATTTCTTTAACATTTCTCTTGATATTTTTAACCAGTAAAATTTGTTACGTAGCATTGCTAAAACCCATTTTATGACATTTTAAAAGCATTACTGAAAGCTAAAGGCACAATAATATTTAAGTAGGCAGTAACTACAGAGAGTGAGTTCATTGTTGATCTGAAACTCACTACTGTGTTTGGAAGGTGATGATGTTACCATTATAGCGGTGTCTATAAGCCGTGCTATCCTTATGTACAGGAGGACTAGCAGGAAGGTGAGAGAGCTGTGGTGGCAGGGCTTGCCACCTAGCATGCGCGGTAAGGCATGGAAGCTTGCCATAGGCAACGATCTCAGCATCACGTCAGAACTCTACGAAATTTGCGTGATGCGTGCCAAGGAGCGCCTGCAGTGCTCGACAGAGGGCGCCGCCGAGCCCGACGATGCGCCATCTGGTGAGCAGATGTCGTGGTAGTGACGTGCTCTGTAGCGTTGAGACTATATGTGGTGACGCTGGCGTTTAACGCAAAACTGCCCCGTTTCCTCGGCTCATTGCTTAACAAGGGCATCAGCATTGTGATCGTAACAATACACACTGAAAATAATCACACTCAAATAAATGCAATCATTAAATGTGCTCCTGAAGTTATCTGTGTATCTGAATGTCATGCTTGGCTGGGTGTTAGGAGTGCTTTCTTCAAGATTCTGCTTTTCTCTTTTTCTTCACCGCTGAGAATAAATTAAGTGGTCGGAGTATGGGTGAGCGGGCGTCTACGTGATGCCAGCTGCTTCTGTGGGCGAGGACGGCGATTTAACATGCAGATTCCTCTTACGTATACTCTGCTGCTCATTGTTTGTCTGACAGAATCACCAGCTAACAGGGAAGACAGTGTGGAGTTGATAAGGCTGGACGTATCACGCACGTTTCCTCATCTGTGCATCTTCCAGAAGGTATTTTCTACTGCTGAAATCTGATGCACCCGATGCAGAGATGATGTAAACAGGCTGATGGTACCCAGCCGTGCTATTTGTAAACAACCCGCTGGTTTCTCTCAAAGTCACACATGATACATGTGATGCACCGTCCCCTAAGAATTTGTTTTAGCAATTTTTTTGCTGGACTGATGCATGTATTACTGTACCACTCCAATGGGGTTTATAATAACACAAGCGATGGTACAAAAAAGTACACAAAGTGGGGGAAAAGAAGAGGCTTGCAGTCATAGTGAGCAGCGCCCTGGCAGCGACCGGGTTAGTTAGCTGTTGTTATCTCATGTATGGTTGATCGTGTTACAGGGAGGACCTTATCATGACCTGCTACAGAACATGCTGGGAGCGTACGCTTGTTACAGACCTGACGTTGGCTATGTAAGTGATGTAATCTGAAGCATTTCATGTATCATTTAATGTAGTACAGGTACTTTGGTGTTATTGCTTATTAGTGTCGTTAATGTTATTGCGTGTCGTTGAAGGTTATTGTTTGTCATTGAAGGTTATTGTGTGTCGTTGAAGGTTATTGTGTGTGATAATGAATAACCCCCAGATAACATTTCAGATGTACATGAGTAGCATTTCTAATTATAAAGACAATAATTGCATTTTATTTTTGACACATCAACTTTATTGTATTGAACTTGACAAATCTATTGTCAATTTATCTACCAACAAAACTATCAAAAATAGAAAACTGGATAAAAGGTGAATTATGGTTTCATCACAGAGATTTCGGCTAGGTATCTGCTGCAGCCGTTTGACGTTGTAAACTCGTATGTTACAGGTGCAGGGGATGTCTTTCTTGGCAGCCATGTTGTTGTTAAACATGGACGTCGCAGACGCGTTCATTTGTTTCTCTAACCTGCTCAACCGGCCGTGTCACAGAGCGTTCTTCCGCGTCGACAACACCATGGTATGTGCTTGTTATCGTCTACATCTGTAATGTGGTTGCATGAAAGTCGCGTTAAAAGTATGCAATTCATATTTAATTTAATTTTATGGTTCGTATTTATTTCTCTGCGGGCGTATATTTACCTCCTCCATTGACTTCGTCCTACCTCTTTTTTTCTTACTTCATCACACCTAGTCTTTCTATCTCTGCCTAGCTTCCTTGACTGATTCCTACATCTATTCCTGTCTCTACCTTCTTATTCCCTACTGCCCCATGTGCCCCTACCTCAATGACATCCGACAACAATCTAGAATCGTTAGCACTTCCCACATCCTAACCCTAATCCTAGCTATCCATTCCCATTTGCTACTAAAGTAATGAGCATGAAACAATACTGTTGTTCACGACTGCTATACATCTTTATTTGTGTGATGGAAACAAGCCGCGTGATTGTACTTGCAGATGAAGGCTTATTTCGCAACATACGAAGAACTGTTTGAGGAAAACCTGCCGAAATTGTATACACACTTTGAGAAACTGAATGTAACAGCTGACATCTACCTTATAGAGTGGTAAGCTGTAACATAGCTACCTTATAGAGTCATAAGCTGTAACACAGCTACCTTATACAGTGGTAAGCTGTATCAGAGCTACCTTATAGAGTGGTAAGCTGTATCACAGCTACCTTATAGAGTGGTAAGATGTATCACAGCTACCTTATAGAGTGGTAAGCTGTATCACAGCTACCTTATAGAGTGGTAAGATGTATCACAGCTACCTTATAGAGTGGTAAGCTGTATCAGAGCTACCTTATAGAGTGGTAAGCTGTATCACAGCTACCTTATAGAGTGGTAAGCTGTATCAGAGCTACCTTATTCTCTTGCAGCTGTTATCTCTGTGTACCAGATTTCCTCCCCTTAGAGGTTGTTGTTAGCTATGTGTTCTTACATTAGTGTGTCATGACATCTCGTGGTATTTGGTGTAAGTACCAGCTGGTTTGTGGCTTCAGGTTATTGGTTATAGTAAAGATCTGCTACTAGTAAATGTCTTCCTCAGGTTGTACACGAGCTTCAGCAAGTCTCTGCCACTAGATGTCGCCTGTAGAGTGTGGGACATCTTCTGCCGTGACGGCGAGGAGTTTTTCTTCAGGACTGCTCTCGGTGCGTCAAAACGTTTCTTAAGTTCACTATGTCACGAATTTTCTTTGGTATATATTTGTAAAATTTGGGTTGCAATTTTGTTTACATGAAAAGTAGGTACTAATGGCACTAAATGTATCCCCAAATTCTTACCTGATAAGATTGTTAGCTCACCTTGACATCGTTACGCTGAGCTATTGCCATGGGTCGTCGTCCGTCAGACGTCCGTCCGTCTGTCCGTCCGTCCGTCAACATTTGGCTACGGTCAACGATAACTCAGGAACCATTTGACCCACATGTTTGAAATTGGGTATAGTTGTTACTGCTATGCTCCCATATTAAACGTCCTATTTTGGAGCACGCCAGTCGACGTACTTTCGAGCCACGGCAATTTTTTGGCAAAAATGGGAATTGCCATTAGTCAGTTAAGGTTCAACGGATTTTGCTCATTTTTGGTATGTGAATGAATAAGGGCTAGAGGTTTTGATATTTAAAAAAAATTATGCAAATTAGGTAGGGTTTGGCAATTATATAGCATGTTATATAGACACGCAGATAACAAACAGTCTGTGGTGTCACACTTGTCTGGTTTGTTTTACAAGATTTCATTGACAATATCTTTAATGCAAAATTGGTATTTTCTCTCCACCCTGCCGATAAAACGTCTATATTAGAGTAAAGTTTTACAAAACATGTCGGAACGCAGCATAACCTATTTATTTCGAACGCCATCGCTAAGAAACATCAAAGCGGGTATAGCGCCATCTACCGTCACAAATTGTGATTTATTTTGGTTTATAAATTATTATTGCGATATACAGATGGCAACCGTGTGCTACCGCCTAGAAAAACTCATACAAAGTAAACACTTCCATGCAACCAATTAACCTTTGACAAAAGTTGTGTTATGGGCAAGGAAACACCATTGTCACGTGGTATATAGCAGCTACGTGGAATAAGCGTATCCTCTCAATCTTACACGTTACTCATCAGGAGCTCCGCTTTTAGGCAGTGCCTAAATTTGAATATTATAAAAACGTTAAATGGCGATCATTTAGGTGTAACGCCATCACTCGCCCACATCTCAGATTTTCACATCTCAAACATTTATTTTCACATAAAAAATTAACATATAAAATTATCAAGAGTATATAATGGGAGTTCTCCCATATATACTCTTAGTTTCTATAATGTACATCGATGGTTGCTCAATTAAAACTGACTTCTTCTCACTCACTCATTTGTGTCCTTTTTTGTGGTGAGCTACAGTGTCATTGACACTTTTAATTTTCAACTAGTAAAAAAATCCAAAATATCTAGGCAATTTGATATATTGATCTTGATATAATATAGTTTCTTGATGATGCAGGGCTATGTGATATGGTATCTTAGTTATGCACAGGTATGCGTTACGGTTTCTTAATGGTGCAGAGGTTTGTGATGTGGCTTAATGGTGCAGGACAAATGAAAAATGAATTGTTAGCACTTAGCAGCAGTGTGTCAGCGTGTGAGATGGTTTCTTATGACTGCAGGGGTGCTACGAATGTATGAGGACATGCTACTCAACCCTGACATGGACTTCATCCACACAGCCCAGTTTCTTACCAAGCTCCCTGACGACATATCTGCAGAACAACTGTTCAGAAACATAGAACACATCCGTACGCATGTTGATAAGCGTAGGTTCTCACAGGTATGAACAGATGACGCCACCTACCAACGGGTGTGCTGTATGCTGGTGTTCATGAGGATATCTATTGAACATTTATTTTCTTGCTTATGAACGTATCATGCGTGCGCATGCGTGCGTTCGCATGTGTGTAACGCCTCCTTGCATTCTGTATGGTAAATGCTGTCTACCTTCTCTCCAGGTTCTTGCACATCATATGGAGGCTGCTGATGGGTCACGGGATACTTAGCAGCAGCGGGAACCATCGTCGTCGTGGTTGCCGTGGTTACCCGGCAGGAGATGCCCAGCCACCGTGTTGTCACACTAGTCGATGTGTGGCCCGATTGATCTGAGATATATGACAATCTCTACTCTACCAGACGCACGAGACACGGTCGTGAATGCTCCACGGCTGTGGGAACAGTGGTTGACAGACCTCATTGCCATTGTTAGGTTGAGTGATGTTACTAACAGAGTGAAGAGACTTTGTAGTGTAGAGATCACTGCATTCACTCAGTTGTAACCGCAGTGCAACACGTGAAACATTGCCAACGAACACACTGATTGAGAGTATGGTGCGAGGCTGAAACTTGTGTGGAACTCTCTTTATTCGCACTCATATATGCAACAGTGGCTGTCACCAATAATTACAACTCTGTGAACACATTGTCGTGGCCATTCACTGTACTATATGTGGCAAAATCATTTTCATGATTGCCCGTGGAGGCGTGTCAACGTGTTTTTCTAACAGTTGCCGAGATCCCAGATACACGGTGGGTGTGTTTATAAATCTCGTCTGCATATATGGTTCCGTGACCTTGAGTTATTTATGCTGGGAGAAATGGCTGATCTGTTTCTAGCTAGAGAACAGGCACAGAATCAACATCAGTCATACATGCATCACTGCCGATAAATCCACGTTTGGAGAAGCTAATATTAAATGTAATGTTGGTTTCTCCTCATCATCCCTTATCTTCGGAAGACATTTGCCTGTGCATCCTACGCGATGGGCTCTTCCTTCCAAATGAATGGGTGGAATTTTGGGTGCCAGGACCAGTGGCACATTTTTATCAAATAACTTATATGGCCGATGTTTATAAAGCTGTACGCGTTCTACCACTGTTAGTAAAGCATTCACTGTTATAGCAACCATGTCGCTCGTGCGCTTGTTCTAAGAGCTATTGTACAGCTCAGGTTCAGATTTTTGTAAATATAGTTGCATTTTCATGTGAGCTGTGATATTACATTCACCACATGTAAAGCACCTAGCAGATTTAGTAATAGGTATTGCAAAGCTAGGAAAGTAGAAGCTAGGTCTATTGTTGTCAGTGGAAAATGTCTGACAGGTGTGATCTTCACCCACCCCAAGAAATGCGAAGTACCTGATAACACGAATTTACACGAACTTGCCCTAGCGGTAGAGGCTGTACTCACCGCCGGGGTGTATGCTAGATAGGTAGATACACAATAAGGACAGTTGCCATCAACTGCCTCGATGTATGATAATGAGTAGGTAGGTATACGTAGAAGCAAGATTGTTTGCAGTTGTCAGGCACACACTATACTGGATCTCCAGCTACTAATCTTCGTACTTGTGTTCTTTATTTTAACATTTATTAGTTGAATTTTGATGTCCATATATTTGACATGTGTGTCTCTACTGTGTTCTACTTCATAGCTGAAGTATTTTATCATGTATTACTTACATATGTATATAGAATATCTGTCAATGATCTGAGCAATGCAACCTTACTATTATTGTATATAAGAAGGAAATAACTAGAATATTCTGTGTAATAAACAGTATTAATGCAATTCGTCGACGTGGGAAAGTTGAGCTGACCGGGAGTGTTACAAAGAAACCTGTGATGATCCGTTGGTTTGTGGTTCCTGTGCATGACACCAGGTGGCGAGCGTTTCTCTGCTTTATGGATGTCACACAAGGAGGAAGGATGTTGTGTTTGTATGCAGAAGACGACTTGCCTGCGTAGCTTGGTGTAAATTCCCAGGTCTAGCAACAATGAGAGTGACAAGCTAACACCACGGCACGGTCTCTGTCATGACAACCAGAGCATGGACGTAAGGTATTTTCGGTCCTTACAGCCGAATACTGAATGTTGGCGTTAGCAGCCCTCGCTGTCGAGTCTCTCGAGCGCCACCTGTTGTTAGGATTCCACTCATACTAATATAATTATGCCAATGGGCTGTCAGACTCTGTAATCACTGCATTGTATTACACTACATTGTTTTCATATATGAGATTAATAAATGCCTGTGGTAAATTCTCATCTTAGTATACTGAATTTGTCAATCTTATAGATACAAACTTTCTACTGTAAACTTTTGTAGTTAACATATACTAACGGGTGCTTGTACTGTTGCGTACAGAAATAACAAAGGCTACAAAACTCTGTAACAGTTCGCCACTCCTACTCATATAAAAACACCTAAAATATTTTGAATGAAAAATATATTTACTCTCTTTTCTCCATAGCATACATCTCTTCCTTTTAAGCAGCTCGCACAGGGTGGTCCATCAGCTATGATTATCACCATCGCCATCATGTTGGTGTTGATAAGGTGAGGATATGGGCAAGCCAAGGGATATTACTTGGATCTTGATTTGGGTTTCACTTGAAGTTGTCTGTTGCAGCAGATATAGGAATGCATGAACACGATACATACTCATACCCGTAAAGACATACAAACAGTCAACATTTGCTAAACAAACATGGAATTATTATTATCCTATATGTACAAAACTTGATGACGAATGTACATAATATATGTATATGATTCAATAAATTTTCTCTCGGCATCAAATTGTAACAGTACACATGAAGAAATATATTACTTTCAGCAACTGACTGACGTGATATGAATAGTATATGACGATCCTGATCCGATGTCATAAAATCAAGTCATTTGTTTGATACAATGAAATATTAATGTCACGATCATACAGTTTTAAAAGCATTCTTGCACAAGATGGCAGCAATGTATGGTGATTACATCGTCACTACCAATGTCAGCAAAATGCTCCATAACAAATATATTCCAGTTAAAATAAGAATTTTTAGAGCAGCATTTCTATTTACATCACTAATGTATATCCAGGTATAGTGATAAGGAAGAGGCAAAAACAAACTATTATTGCGTCTTGGTTTGTACTCGTAGATGCTGCTAACATACGATATAAACTATACAGGAAACTATGTCACATTAATATCAATGCAATTAGTGCAGTTATGATAGCATATATGGGAAGTTTTCAAGTGTAGCTAGAAAAACATAGCAAAGTAAGAAGTATTGTCGTAGTGCACGGACACTATGCCGAGCTAACTGCACCACAGTAAAGCAACTACGTGTCATGTCATGCGTAAAATATCTTCATGATTTACCAGCTATCCCACATGCAACACACCAAGCCTTGTACAATTTCTGTCATATATGTCACATATAGCAAGCCAGCTATCTCACACATCACAAACCAGGAATCGGAGCAATTATATCTCAGCTACGGAAATTCAGATCATGAGTGGTAAACCAGCTTTCTTGAGTAACAGCCAACCTAGCAACAAGAAGCTGAGCATAATAGGAAACCGGTGACCTGTGATTAATGGCCTGACCCATGTGGTTGGTTCGGCACTGAGCTACAGGCTTCCTCCCTGCAGGTGGCGCTAGTGGAGCGGGTTCGGTCAGCATCGTTGGCACTATACTTTGTGTCCGAAAATTGTCGCAAATGTATCTGCAACCAAGTGCATGAATAACAACACTCAAGAGAGATGAAGATGTTACTGCAAGTCTATGCTGAAAGAGTAGACACTGGCATGTGGATCCACTGGTTTCATTGAGAGGGTCAATACAGATTACATGATTAGAGTGATGATGAGACACAGCTTCTACTTGTAGGTATAGTTTAATTGTTAAGTGAGACAGTGACATCATCTGCCGGTAATATTACGTTGCTGAGTGAGATGGGTCTGCTACCTGCAGGTGTAGGTTCACTTCAGCACTCCGGCTCAGAAAGGGGAAGTTCCCTCCTCCTTTCAGATGTGCCCTCCTTGCCTCCGGATAACACTTGTAAGTCTCGTCTCGGACTGTATCCGTCAATGCACAATCATCAAACACCTACAGAGGGGGACAGTCACACGGTAACCTCGTGTGGAACATAGCTTCAATATAACATACCATTTGAATCTAATGTAATATAGAAAATGCAAGAGTGTGAACACAGCAGAGATAGTGCTAAACACAAGGCATACGTAACAGAGAGTACAAGTCATGTATGATAGATACCAACTTGCAAAATAGAAGATAATTAGTAGAAATAGTGAAACGCTAGTAGAAATGAGGAATTATAAGGTGGTAACGACCTTGTAATCATGCTGCCTCTGAGAATATGAAGCTTGAATGTTATCTGGATTCACACACGTTGAGAATATGAGACAGTTGTGAAGGGTAGCAGAGTGAGGGTGGCGACCAGCTATGTAAAGGACAGTGGAAGGCCCGAGGATTTGCTACTCTGGTCGTGCCACAGTGGCCACCGAGGACAGATCGTCTTCGATGTTGATGTTGGAACCTGATGCTTACATCCATGATCGTGACAGCAACGTCCTTCAGTTTCTGAGGTTCAATGTAAGAAGCCATACAGTTGAGTGTGAGTCGTGACGACAGCTGCTGTTGACTGAGTCCATCAAGCTGTAACACAGACATGCACACCAACAATGTCAATTCACAGCCACTTAACCTGAACACGCACGCATGCACGCGCGCGCTCTGCACACACACACACATGCACGCACGCACGCACGCACGCACGCACGCACGCACGCACGCACGCACGCACGCACGCACGCACGCACGCACGCACGCAACGC